AGCAGTCCGTGACAAGCACTGAGCACAGATCACTTCCTCAAACTCCCACAACCCTTAGGTGAGACAAGAAGTTGCATGCTCTCTCGCCACAGGCTGTACACACGCACATACACCCACAAACGCAGAGGACACATAATTGGTCTAACTCACCTTCCTCATGATCACACAAAACCAATAATATGTCACAGGTTCCAGGTCAGCCGTTACTCTGAGGCGTGCGACACAGGATGCAGCCCCTCCTGTTGATTGGATGACAACAAACTGCACGAGGCTGTTGGACTTTCTGACTGGAAGACCTCAGGCAGTACGGGTCGGCAGCAACACATCCAGCACCATCACACTGAACACTGGGGCCCCCCAAGGATGTGTGCTGAGCCCCCTCCTCTTCACTCTGCTGACCCACGACTGCACACCGTCACACAACTCCAACCTCTTCATTAAGTTTGCGGATGACACGACTGTAGTGGGTCTCATTAGCAACAGAGATGAGACAAACTAGGTTCCAGGTCAGCCGTTACTCTGAGGCGGGCGACACAGGATGCAGCCCCTCCTGTTGATTGGATGACAACAAACTGCACGAGATGCAGAAATGATAGTCATCCTGCAAAACACCAAAACTGAACACACCCTCACTCACGTTTGAAATTCTTCATGGAGATCTGAATACAAAAACAGACCTGGTTTGAGTGTTTCGGGAGCCTCCCAAGGCTCAAGTCACGGCCTAAAAATGACAAACAAAGCTAACCATTAGGGCCTCTGGGAGTATACAATGTCAGCTGATCAGTAGGGCCCTAGGCCCCTCAGCACATATACATAGGGCCCCTGAATACAATTTTAGTTGTTGTTGGCCTACCAATTGCCGTGCAATTTCTATTTTTTTTCCTTTGCCGTCCTCTACAGATGTGTCCACATAGGCCTCGTTCTGCAGCCTGCAGCAGAAAGTATACATAATGTTTAGTAAATGACTGTAGTTAAAAAAGTCAACTAAATAAATGAATGTAAATGTAATATGCACATACAAAGAGCTGCTATGAGCACTAAATCTGATCCTCTTGAACATCAGTATGCAGGAAGTTTATTTTTATATTCAATTTAGCAAAAAAGTACAGTGCAGATGGACGTACAGTGTAAACACACACAAATGACGAGCCAAAAAGTCTGAGGTTTATATGTGACAGATGACTGTGTAAAAACTTGTCTTTGTAAAAAAAATTAAAATTAAGAAATGGATATAAAGGATATAAAACAGATATAACAATACATTGGATATTATTTGTACACAATGCATCTTTTTATTCAGCATTTCAAATTCATTTCAACTGGTCTACGTAAAATTCATAGGACATAAACTACATCACAAGCACATGACAGTACAGCATGTGAAAATCAACATTAAAGTCCAAATAAACAAGTGTGACTGCATTTCCAAAGTGAATGTACAGTTACTGCAAATGTAGAAACACTGCAAAATTTAAAGATAAAAGCTTACCATAAAAAGCAAAACAGCATTTTCATCTTTCACATAATAATTGTACCAAAGAAATTATTATAAAGTTAGTGTCTCTGCAAAGAGACTTGAACAATAATTTTAGTTTTCATAGAATCTTGCTTATATATTTTTTTTCCTTAGCAAATGTATTACCTTTAGCAAAAAATCCCTACAATACAAAAATAACATGAATCTTGAGATTATGACAAATAAAGACATAGCACCATACTGTAGCACCACAGATTAGCCACCAGTCCTTGAACAGAGGCCACCTCTTCAAGATCTGCTCTTCAAATCAAACATTCGACGTGTGCTGCCAAGACCCAGGAGAGGGAAAAGGTCTGTTATGGCTCTCTAACGATGACTGACACTAATCATTTGGCAAATTTGAGCTAAATTCTGATATTTGGGTTAGAAATGGGTAAAAGGAAATTGTAGGTTCTGAAAGGGAATCCAATCAATATGTTAAGAAAACACTGAAAGTTAAATATTTGGAAGAGTTCACCTAAAAATGACTCCTCACCATTATGCTGTTCCAAACCGTTATGGAAGCGACATGTTTTTTTTTAATTCTCTGTGTGTATGTGCTGTACATGTGGAAGAATTGACAATAAAGCAGACTTGAAACTTGAAACTTGAGATGCAGAAATGATAGTCATCCTGCAAAACACCAAAACTGAACACACCCTCACTCACGTTTGAAATTCTTCATGGAGATCTGAATACAAAAACAGACCTGGTTTGAGTGTTTCGGGAGCCTCCCAAGGCTCAAGTCACGGCCTAAAAATGACAAACAAAGCTAACCATTAGGGCCTCTGGGAGTATACAATGTCAGCTGATCAGTAGGGCCCTAGGCCCCTCAGCACATATACATAGGGCCCCTGAATACAATTTTAGTTGTTGTTGGCCTACCAATTGCCGTGCAATTTCTATTTTTTTTCCTTTGCCGTCCTCTACAGATGTGTCCACATAGGCCTCGTTCTGCAGCCTGCAGCAGAAAGTATACATAATGTTTAGTAAATGACTGTAGTTAAAAAAGTCAACTAAATAAATGAATGTAAATGTAATATGCACATACAAAGAGCTGCTATGAGCACTAAATCTGATCCTCTTGAACATCAGTATGCAGGAAGTTTATTTTTATATTCAATTTAGCAAAAAAGTACAGTGCAGATGGACGTACAGTGTAAACACACACAAATGACGAGCCAAAAAGTCTGAGGTTTATATGTGACAGATGACTGTGTAAAAACTTGTCTTTGTAAAAAAAATTAAAATTAAGAAATGGATATAAAGGATATAAAACAGATATAACAATACATTGGATATTATTTGTACACAATGCATCTTTTTATTCAGCATTTCAAATTCATTTCAACTGGTCTACGTAAAATTCATAGGACATAAACTACATCACAAGCACATGACAGTACAGCATGTGAAAATCAACATTAAAGTCCAAATAAACAAGTGTGACTGCATTTCCAAAGTGAATGTACAGTTACTGCAAATGTAGAAACACTGCAAAATTTAAAGATAAAAGCTTACCATAAAAAGCAAAACAGCATTTTCATCTTTCACATAATAATTGTACCAAAGAAATTATTATAAAGTTAGTGTCTCTGCAAAGAGACTTGAACAATAATTTTAGTTTTCATAGAATCTTGCTTATATATTTTTTTTCCTTAGCAAATGTATTACCTTTAGCAAAAAATCCCTACAATACAAAAATAACATGAATCTTGAGATTATGACAAATAAAGACATAGCACCATACTGTAGCACCACAGATTAGCCACCAGTCCTTGAACAGAGGCCACCTCTTCAAGATCTGCTCTTCAAATCAAACATTCGACGTGTGCTGCCAAGACCCAGGAGAGGGAAAAGGTCTGTTATGGCTCTCTAACGATGACTGACACTAATCATTTGGCAAATTTGAGCTAAATTCTGATATTTGGGTTAGAAATGGGTAAAAGGAAATTGTAGGTTCTGAAAGGGAATCCAATCAATATGTTAAGAAAACACTGAAAGTTAAATATTTGGAAGAGTTCACCTAAAAATGACTCCTCACCATTATGCTGTTCCAAACCGTTATGGAAGCGACATGTTTTTTTTTTGTGAGGAACAGACCCAAATAAAATTAGCAAAAAATATTACTTCCACCCTAATTCTTCCCCTTTACTTTCAAAATGCATATTCAAATGCCATTGGTTCTGCATTGTTACTACAAACTATGACTTACATTCTGGTATTTTACCAATATAAACCCATTACCCAGCTTGGACACTTGTGTTCCACAGAAGAAAAAAAAAAAGCTTTTGAACAACATAAGGTCATGTGGATTATGGGCAGAATTTTTCCTTTTTTTCCCCAAACTATTACTTAAAGATCTCAAAGGTGTGAGTATGAATATTTGTTCCTGACCTGATAAAATGAAGCATAAGCAATCCAGTAACTAGATGGTTACATGGGTCACAATTCTGCACTGCCACCAATGTTGCTGCATGCTGACTTGTGGTGCATTAGAAGTACAGTACATTATCTTAGGTAAAGTGTCTGAGAATAACAATATGACCACCACATGGTTTTAACAATAGCTTCCATTGGCCTCTTTAACTACTATTACGTTGTGCACAGAAGCTAAACAGACCCTATCTCTCATTTCCCTCTGTTTGCTAAACAGTTCATTGTTCATCCAGGTTTGACTGATGCACAGTATCTTATAATTAATTAGTGTAAGCATTATGGGACCGGATGGCAAGAAAATGGCACAGCACCTGCAAATAGCCACAAGGCCGTCAGATTAAAAGATACAGTATCTCAGCACCAACCACATCGAATGAGAGCTTATGATATCTGAGTGATCTGGAGTGTCTCTAAAGGGCAGTTCACACGGACAATGATTTAATTGTTCAATGTCAACAACTCACTGCTAGTCAGTGTTCCTCTCAACTGCAGCATTCATCTGTATCATGAAGCATTACGGTACGGTCACATTAGTGAATTTTCGGCAAATGTTTCTTTGCAAAAGGTCCATTGTATAGCACAGTGTTGCAATGTACAATGCACCGCTCACATAGAAGTCACTTTCAAAACAAACAGCTTTCTGGTGCTCAACGCAGCGATTTTGCAATTTGCGAAATTCGTTGCAAAATCTGTTTAGGGAAAATCCCCCCAAGCGAAAATTTCACTGTGAAAATTCTTTGGACCAGTGGTAAATGTGACCGCACCTTCGCTCATGTTGTTTAAAATCACCAACTCTTTTAAAAATAGTTAACTGTTGGTTGCTTTGCAAATTGCTGTAAGTGAAAAGGCCCTTAAGGGGATAGTTCACCCAAAAATGAAAATACATTATTTACTCACCCTCATGTTGTTCTAAACAATTATGACTTTCTTTCTTCTGTGGAACACAAAAATAGATATTTTATTGTATGGACAAAGATTTATTTTTTGATGTGTTGGAGAATAAAGAAAGTCATACAGCTCTGTAACACCATGAGGGTGAGTAAATAATAACAGAATTTTCATTTTTTGGTGAATTATCCCTTTAAAGATGCACTCAGTAATGTTTATCCAAAGTAAAATTTTATACACAAGCAAAGTAAAAAGTATTTTTGAAAAATATTTTAACATCCCAGCCTAACAAGAGTTGGTTTATTTTACATGGAATGGGTCTCTCATGGGAGCAGCCATATTGAGATCACATGACCAGCTCCACACTACTCATTTCAACTCAGTAACCTGGTTGTTTCTGGACAATTTTGTTTGTGGATTAAATTAATAATGGCTGACTACCAGTAGTGCTTTTCTACATTGGTAACTGAAAACAACTGTGCATGATGATTAGTCCACAACACTAGGTGTCAGTAAAAGTCCAAAACGACCAGCGCTACACAAAAAATTACTGAGTGAACCTTTGAGACTATAATAAAGATGACCGGTCTATAAATGGTCACATTACAATAACAGACAACTATTATTCACTGAGATTTAGCAGTACATCTGTGACAGTTCACAAACACTTCTCTGTATGACAGTGATGGCCGAAAGCACCACATGGAAGAGCAAAAGAAACACTGACGGATGTCTTTTGGGCAGACTGGTATTCACAGCAGCATTGCCAAAGCAGCTGATTGGAGGGAGAGAAAGAGAGCAGCACAGACTTTCTCTCACTTTTCAAGTCTCTCTCTCGCTCTCATTTCTTCCGTGCTTTCTCTCACAATGATGTCAGTCTGCCATTGGTTAACAGCACTCCTCCAGCGGAATGCTGAGCATGGGCGGTTTTGGCCATGCAAGAAGATGGGAGGGTGGAGAGGGAAGAAAATGAGGGCAAGAGAGAGAGACATTGAGCGTGAGAGAGAGAGAGAGAGCGCGAGTGAGAGGGAGGTCAGTGTCCTTGGCAGGTTTTGCAGCACATCTGTCTGAAGTATGCACGGCTGCAAAATTTGAACCTGAGCACTAGGGGGCAGTATGCCACTGTGTTCACATCTTTACACTCTGCGGGACACAGAAAAAGTGCAGTCAGTCGCAGAGAAATTAAATTTGCATCCTAATAACACACAATGTTTTCATATTTTCCAGTGACTTCAAGCATGTAACAAATTTCAACATTTGCTTTGCAATTGAAAAATCCTAACAGTTTTTTGTCAAGGGAACCCCTGTGATGCTAACTTTCAGGTTGGCCTACAAAAAGTACTGGCATGCATAAAGTATAGAGTTCTGCAGTGATGACGCAATCACTGCAGCACTCTATACTTTATGTATGTGAGTACTGCAACATAATACTGTCATAAAATTAAGTTAGTATAGTTGCTAAAGCTAAAAGAGCAATGCATTGTGGGCAATATTTGTTGTATACTTCAGTATGCTATTCAACATACTATGATTTGGAATGTACGAATTATAATATTATTGGGATGCAAAGTGTGTCTGCTTGCCCTTTGACCTCTAACCTTCAGGGTTATCTGTAGGGCCATTTTTATCACACTTGCTCTTGCACTGCTGCATGGAGGCAGGACGATGTGTCTCTGGGCACTCATTAGATGGCTGGCCAGTGTGTGTCAGACACTGCACTAAACGAATCTCTTGACCCATACCGCACCAAGCCGAACACTGGAACACACACAAAAACACACGTCAAACAGGACAGGAACATGTATAAAACAAGAAAAAGTTTTCATCGAACCTCACATATCTGGACTCAACGATTCATTTTTGGACATTTTGATTCCTGTCCTTTTTTATATGTCCGACATCACAATTCAGCAAATTTTTTGGAAAGAATGAGAACATTGGGTGTATTAATTTAAAAATTGCTTTTTTTGCTGGGTCTCAGGAGAACATTCTTGCCATTCACAGTGATTCAAGGCATAATCTAATTTTGCTTACACATTAAACACTTATGTCAGATGTTTTAAGTGCTTGTGATGAAATCACAAAGTGACAATCTCACAGCTTTAAATGAGATCTCACCTCTCCCCAGGGTCCTGTAACCCACTGAGGTGGTGGACAACGTTGTATGTTGCAGCGCACCCTGGTGGTCGGGTGGCTTTGTTTCGGGCACTCTGACTCTGGCAACGTTTCACCGTTTTCTCCACTTCTGCACAAAATCACTCTGTACCTGTAACCCGGACCACAGCTAGGAGTACACTGCAAAAGATACATGATAACAAAGAGACAATACCAAATTACACCAAAGATCGAAGTAAGATTTTACTAGACTACTAGTCTAATTGAACCCGAAAAATAAGACGCCCTAGCTGACTGCTAGTTGGTCAGACCAGTTCTTAAGACACAGTCTTAACATATAGGCAGCTGGACCCAGCTGTTTCTCTACCTCAGACCAGTCCAGGGCATGCCATTCTGGTGGGCAGGTGTGGTTGTTGCAGGGCTCGGTGACGGAAGGCCGTGGTGGGGTGCAGGCCGCGTCATCAAGGACTTTCTCCTCTGTTACCGAGATCTTTCTTTTACACAGCACTTCCCGCGTCCGCACTCCTCCGTTACAGCTCCGACTGCAATCTGACCAGTCTCCTGTCCACCACCTGACAGATACACAGATACCAGAATATATCAGGCATTGATGGCATATCGCATCACGTTGATCAGGAACACCAAAGACGTTATGTGAAGTCTTGTGCATGTACAGTACAAAAGTCTAAGACTTTTGAAATTTGGGGGGAAAAAATAAACCTGGAAAGAAACAAATTTGAAAAAAGTTTACTATTTAAACAATTTAAAACAATGATGCAAGAATACAAAAAAATATAAATAATGAAAAATAATTTGCTATTAAAATGAAGAAGATAGAAGAAAACAAAAAAAATATATAAATATGCTTATGAATATTAATTAGCGTATGTGAATGTGGTACAGTGATTTAGATAGTATAGTAAATTGCACTGACTGGCTAATCAGTGGTCCTTCGATGATGTCTGGTAAGCATCAGGATACATTAGCATACAAATCTAATGTGGCCCCTGACCATTTCTGAATGTGGTTTGCATGATCAAATCACCATGTGTTTCCATATGCATCCCATTTGCACCTATATTTAGCATGGAGCATATATGATCGGGATGGATGTTAATGCCACACACACAAACACATACAGAACACCCACGTTGGAGGGCAGGGCTCCAAGTTGCAGGGTCTTTTCTTGTCTTTGGGCTTCTTTTTCTTGTCGCAGAAGTGGTTGTACACCACAGAGAGATCGGCTTGTTTCTTGCACACTACCTGCTGGACTTGAACCCCTGTGACAAAAAGAACAGTCTTCGTTATATAAATCACAGTAGATTACCATAAACCCTAATCATACAAACATGAAGCTTTGATGTCAGTGCTGTTTCATTCTTGTCTTTGTGTAAATACACAATCCCTGTGAAATTATTATGGTATGATGGTTGTGCCAGTTTTGTTGAACACTATGGCTCTGTTCCAAAATCTAGTGAGCAGCCTTGCTGCTTACCACCTAAACAGACAGCTGCCTTCTAAAGCAGCATTCTAACTGAAATGGAACCTTATAAGGTAAATTAATTGGTGACCAATATCAAAATTATGGCCCAATACAAATAATTTTATTTCACATTTTTAATTATGTCACATTTTATAGGCAAAAACAAATAAAAGGCTGATATTAAAATTATATACTATTTTGTATACACTACCATTGAAAAGTTAGGGGTCCGTACACTTTTTTTTATTTTTTTTTTATATAAATTAATACTTTTATTCTAACTTTTATTATACTTAAGTGACAATGAAGACTGGAGTTATGGCTGCCATCACAACAATAAATGGCATTTTAAAATATATTAAAATAGAAAACATTTACTTTAAATTTTAATAATATTTCACAATATTTTACTATATTTTTTAACAAATAAATGCAGTCTTGGCGAGCATTACAGACTTCTATCAAAAACAAAATCACTTAAAAATAAAATAAATAGTTTTAAATGCTACAAGTGAAATTAGGCATCACAAAAATATTAAGTGTACAGCATAATAAATAATTTGAGATCTGCTAAAAAAATTACATTTAACAGTGTTATGAAATTAGTGTTTTTGAAAATGAACTTTTGAGTGTTACATGATGGCAAAGGTAATCTAAATGTAAAAATAGGTTAAATGAGAATGCATAATTAAATTTCCATTGTTGGCTGATTTATATCCAATATGGACCAATAGATACCAAAATATTGTATAATATATGGTACCAATATACTGTACATCACTTTTTTTAAACAACACTTCTCAGCATCATAATCAACATTTATTTTACCTGTTATTTTTGGATTTATTCTAATGCATTATGGCATTGTCTTCTCCATTATGGTTGTTAACTAAAAACCTTCATGATGCCTTAGAATGCTCCCTATGAGGCAGCTCACAAGATTCTGGAGCAGAGTCTATGTTTTCGACAGCAAATTTTTTCTGAGTCATAGCTAATAGTTTCTTATCAGCAAGACAAATACGGGTCATTAACTCACAAAGCATGAATGCAAGAATAATAGGGAAAGAGCTTGAGGATAGGAAGTGACATCAAAGCTGGGGTTCTTGGTGTATACAGTCGATGTAATTGTTTTTTTTCACAGGCTTTCAAACGGTTCACACACATCCTAATGGCAGACATGGGAAATTTACATTGTTCGTGTGAACGGTGTTGGACAACTTGACTTTCTTATGCATTTAGTAGTCACTGTGAATGTGTACACAATTTAAATTCAGTTTCTTTGAGGAAAACCTTGTAATGCCACTTCCACGTGTGAATGATTTCATTATGTGCGTCAGTAAACAGACAATGAAACTATAACAGACAGAAAACAGTCACCTCCTGCACACAGCGCAGAGCAGCGGGACCAGGATGTATAATGCCAGGCGTAACTGCTCAGGGGATCTCTGTTGACAGGTGGGTTAAAACGGTAATGGATCCCAGGATTTTCCTCACGGACCAACACCTGCAACACACCACACAACAGTGAACTGAACTGACTGATCTGGCCATCAAACACTCTGACTCGGATAGTTTGTAATGAAATCAAATAAATGTTTTCCAACAGATTTTGCAAAAACTACCCATCTTCTATTGCTAGGACAAGCTGATAGTCTAAACTCACAACACTGCTGCTGTGTCGGTTGATCAAGATGCTCAAAAAACAAACAAAAATCAAACAAACAAAGAAACACATTTTTTACACTTTTTGGGGCAATTAACGTACAAATAGCTTACTCATTGTTCTCTCAGCATATTAAAATGGGATAGGAGAAAAGTATTTATGAAAAATATTGAAAAAATTACACACTTCAGCTTTGAATAACATTTATACAGAAAATTGCACTTGACCCACATTGCAAATACACTGCAGCTGTCTAAATTCTGAGGCATCTGTACCAACACCAGCAGTGCATAAATATCATGCTTGAACAGACCACCCAGTATCTCTGAGTTACCATGACGATCAGGGTCATGTTGGTGGGTCCAAGTGCTTCCAGGGTCTCCGGTTCATTGGCGGGTCGGAAGTAGTGGAAGGTGGTTCCCGCAATGTCGAAGCGTCTTGGCGTGTCGATGGTCAGCTTGCCGTTGATGAAGTACTGATCCCCTTTGCTCTTCAACACTATGGTATGGAAAGGGTTAATGATTAATGGGCCTCAAAACACAACAGACTCTTCGACATGGACACTGAACACTGTGCTAAACGAGGTTTTACACTTGTAAAAGGAAGTTGGAACTACTTTGGTGCCAAAAGTATAGAATGTGTTGTTACAATGTTTTTTTTTATTGGCAACAAGCAACCAATCAATAAAGTTACGGAGCCCCTAAGAGCTATGGCAAAATGGGGAAAATATGAGATAGGAGGAAAAGTATTGTGTTTTTCCAGAGAAACTCTGCTTCGCTTGCAAAAGCACTGAAATGTAGTTTTTTCTCCCATCTTAAATTATTTCCATCAACAGTTTTGTGTTCGCTCTTAAAACATCAGCATTCGCTCTCAAAACTTTTGCGTTCACTCTTAAAACATCAGCATTCGCTCTCAAAACGTTTGCGTTCACTCTTAAAACATCAGCATTCACTCTCAAAACTTTTGCGTTCACTCTTAAAACATCAGCATTCGCTCTCAAAACTTTTGCTTTCACTCTCAAAACTTTAGCATTCGCTCTCAAAACTTTTGCTTTCACTCTCTAAACTTCAGCATTCACTCTCTAAACTTCAGCATTCACTCTCTAAACTTCAGCATTCACTCTCAAAACTTTTGCGTTCCGCTGAGAACTTGTGAGCAAACGCAAAACCGGTAATGTAAATAATATGAGATGGCAGAAAAACTATATTTCTATTCTTCTGAAAGCAAATGCTAAATTTTTTGGGGGGATGCAACACTTCACTTTGAATTACATTAACTGCCAATATTTCCACAAAAGGGCGAGCAGTTATTAAATCAGGTAGTGTATTTATTGTGTATAACCAAATGATCTCGTAAATTCACATATTAAACGAGGGTTTACAAATGCATATTGTAAAATCTTGAAACCTGACAATCCAGGTTTAATTAACCTGGGATATAACCAAGATAACCAAGCTAACCTGGGATAAATGACCATGGGTTAACAATTAAAAAATGTGAAAAGGCAACAAGAGTGTATTAGTTCTGCTTCCCATAAGAGGCTCATATTTGAGTCAAACCATGAAAAATTGTGTCTCACCCAAGTAATTGTGAGAGACATTGAGCTCTTGGATGTGTATGAATACTGATCCTTTGGGGATCCTGACCACCTCCTCATAACCTAAGAGAGAACACAAACAAACACACACTGACTGTGATGGGATATGCAGAGGTTTGAGATTCCAACTGAATTCCTGGGCAACGTTCCTCAGTTCTGTTGCCCAGCACACAATGTGTTTAAGGCCAGATTCCACCACAGGCCTGCAAACAACTCCAGCTTCTGACTTCAATCTCTCACTCTCAACCACCCTCATCCTAACTGAAGTGTGTCTGTTTCAGAACAAACCATCGGAAGGAATTCTGCATGGCTAAGATCCTGTATCAGCGTTTATGACTTGGGCCTTGCATGTGAGCAGGTAATTATGAAACGTCTTTTCAGAATGGCAGGAGTCTCTGTGCACCCCTCAACAGTAAGGCAGCTGTACAACACATATCTGACCTGAAGTACGATGCTCACCACACAAACACTTACACACATTGTTTGAGGTTCTATAAAGTGATTGTATAGCTTCTCTGAACACATCTAAAGTCTAAAGAGGGCCATCAACAGGAATTTTGGGCCCTTTTACTGTAAATTACTGTGGGTTCCTTACCTTTTTTTAAGAATAAAAATGTCAACATTGATATGGCCTGGTGGAGAATGCAAACATTCTGATATGCTGCATTACATTGATATATTTGTGGGAAAAAAAAAAAAACTTTTACAGTAAAAACTTTTACATTGTTACAAAAAAAAAAACCCTCCTACTTAACAAAATAATCCAGAAAAAAAATCACATTTTCCACAAAAATATTCAGCAAATATTCAACTGTGATAATAAAAAGAAACATTTCTTGAGCACCAAAGCAGCATCTTAGAGTGGCTTATGAAGGATCATGTGATGCTGAAAACTGGAGTAATGACCGTTGAAAATTCAGCTTTGCCATTTTAAAATTTAATACAACAGCTATTCGAAATTGTATTTTATTTTCCCATTTTTTCTGTGCTTCTATGTATTTCACTCTTAGTTTGTAGATTTTATTTCTGCCAACTCTACTTTGTAAACACCATTTTAAAAGGTGCTATTAAAATAACGTTTTACTTGTCTGTTACTGTAAACTCATTTGGTTTTGCACTGTACCATTAAACTGCTTTTGGCCTCTATCTCCATCTTTCCTTTTCTTCTATGGTGAGTTGATTTTCATTTCGTTTTCTCATGCATTCTCATGCCTGCTCAGCGTCAAAACATACCGCAAAGCGATTAGATTATTTTTTTAGAGAGGGTGGAGGGTTTAAAATATTAAAACAACTTGCAACACATTTGTATTTTTTTACAGTGAAATGCACTGAATTACTTATAGTAGAAGAAACTGCTAGAATCGTTTCCACCTTTTCACCCAATTAACTAGTCTTGTCTCAAAATGCAATTTGATTTTAATGTTTTCCAGTTCATGACTTCAACAGCTAATTGAGAAGCGTGTTTACTGACAACTCTCTGAACACAGGCTGAGAAAGCACTAACTGGAGAACAGGAAAGCAGAATTATCAGGGGCTTTAAAGAGGTTGGTGTGTGCCACTGAAGGAAGGAGCAACAGTCTCTCTTATGTCCTGGACAATCCAGTTCACTTGGACTTCTGGGTTAGATCCAGGCCTCAAAATACTCCCCCAGACACCAGAGGAACTTGCCAAGGCTGCTCCCAGTACCTCAAAGCATGTCACACACGCACACATTACTGAGGTTTGGGGGTGCTCACATGTGCATTTGCAGTCTTCACTTAACTATTAAGAGAAAGAATTATACTATCCATCTTCTCAAGGACACTAATGCCGAGTTCACACTGCACGATTTTCAAACTCGTCGGATCGCCATTGTTTTCACACTGCGTGACTATCTGGGGTAGCATTCAGTTGCTGCTGTGTTCACATTGCACGATGGATCGGCAACAGGGGGTTTCACACTGCATGAGTAATGACCAACAGTCATGAATATCGTGCAGTGTGAACTCGGCATAAGGGGAAATCCCCTTAAAATAAATTTGTGCCTCATGATAGCGTTGTTTATTTGCACATGCTGTCTGCATTGTTTTAACCCCTGTAAATCAAGTAATGGCGCGATCGCTACTGCAAAATTAGTGCTTATCACAATTTGCATTGGCCTCATGCTTAGAAATACACCCAGACTACAGACAATAAAGTGTTAAGTGACAATAAAGTTTAAACAATTTCTGCTGCCATGACCTCTAGAAAATGGACACAACCATCCCTTTTAAACAACCCTTTCTACGGGCAGTAATAGTGATACTTTAAAGTCAACATGAATTGCTGTACACAACAATAATGTGACATATTTCTGACTGAAACATCATAATTAATGGAAAATAAAAATATAGGGTGGAACTTGTTTTTATCAATTCCTGATGGAAAAAAGTAATTCCAGAATGGAGTCAGACTGCATGAGTCATGGTGTGACTAAAACAATGGCTGAATAGCTTTTGACTGCTGATTAATGCGATCTTATATTAAGTCAACAAACAAGCAAAAATAATTCAGAGTAAAAGCAAGTTTTTATTTCTGAGGATTTACAGTTGATGTTAAAATTATTATACAAGATTCCCTAATGTTAAACTAAATCATCAATGAGTGAATTGTGCTTTAATCTGTACAATGGCCCAGAAATAAACTACTTTAGCTCTACTTAAAGCTGAGAGGAATAATAATTTAGCACCCTACTCTGTGCCGAACTGAGCTTTAGTTCAGCATTAGGGGATCATATTTTAACACCAACTGTAAATCCACAGCAATAGACACTCTACCTCTGTCAAGAGACTGAATCTATCCCAACGAGGGCTTGCATTTTAACACCTAAAACATAATTTCACGAGACTGTTTGTCTGAAATGGAATTGTCTGTGGAAACTGTTCAACGCCCAGGTCCTCAGTGAGATACACGGTATTTCAGCAATGTTTCTTTTGCACATATTGTTACAAATTGTTCCAGTTCAAACCGAAGTGCACACACTTAGTACCTCCTTCAGACAAGGAGTCATTGAAGACCCCCTCGATGACCTGGCAGCTGCTCCCATCTCCTCCACAAATGTGGCAGCGATCTTCCCGAACATCCGAGCCTAGGATTCGGTCACAGCCCACGTGCTGCAGATACACACACATATTTAGAGAGGTCAGCGGTCAAGGCAAAGATCACAATATTTACCGGCAAAAAGGAATGTACAATTTGCAGATATTACACTAAATATATACATAGATTTACTTCATTGTCTGTGCAAAAATTATAATTATAATCTTTATAATAATTATAATCACTTATATGCAATATTACATGCAGTTTTATTTCATTTATATTGTGGATTTAGCTGATCTCATATAAAGTAGTTCAGTTTACTTGATTTTCAGCCCCAATATGCATACTGTGATTGTACAATTTTACTGGTCTTTCTACAGTACATTTTTATTCTTCTAAAAACACTGTTTTTGCTTTGTTAATATTTTGTCTTGACTTTAATTTACTGCAAGTTATCAATCATATCTTTCTAGCAAAACTTCAAATACAGAACAAAACATACCCTGCTTACAAAGGATGTCTTTTTTGAATGTTGTATATGGAGTAATTAGGCATATCTCTATACAAATGAACACTTGTATGGAGCTATTTTTCATGCTCTGTTTAATAAATTATACTTAATATGAAAATGATCAACTTCACATCATTCACAGTCAAATAATGTATTGCCATGTGCTCTGCAAAAATATTTCATGCTTGAACTGAAAATGGTAGAACAACCATTAGACCGCTGTGTATTCATTCATTCAATATATACAGTGGTGTGAAAAAGTGTTGGCCCCCTTCCTGATTTCTTATTTTTTTGCATGTTTGTCACACTTTAATGTTTCAGACACTGACTCCCGACCCCATGAACATGTCAAGGACAAAGCATATGCTCAGATTTTCATTTCATTTATCCATAATACTTTCAAACGGTCATAATCAGTAAATATGTCTATTCTGACTTAACCTGTGTCTTTATACTTTTTCATATTTTATTATTTAATTTTATTATGTGTTTTTGTATTTATGTGTGCACTAGAAGCTTCATTACCAAGAAAAACTTGTGTGCAAGCAGTTGGCAATAAAGATCTTTCTGATTCTGATTCCCCTAAGTTTCTTTTTTCTATCCCACAGAGGAAAGTAAGTCAAGGGCTCAAATGGTGTTAACATATTTAACTAATCACATGTATTAAAGGGGTCATATGATGCGATTTCAAGTTTTCCTTTGACAGCCCTGATAGAAATATCAAGGTTTGATGTATAATCTCAAGAGCAATCCCAGAATTCGAGAGATCACAATTAATTTTCACTGACATTGTGCAAAGCAATTGCAAGTTTCTCCAAAGGGGCCAAATCTGCACACAATCCAGACCATTAAAGAAGAAACTGAAGAGTCTCTGCTGTCAGTATGTAAAACGTAACACACAAAATGAACTCAGCAACCAGCAGACCTGAAACTGCTTGAGTCTTTCCAAATCCAGGACTGTGCAACTTCACAAAAATCCCACTAAAGCGCCAAAGACTTTTGTTGACCTGGCCTAGATTCCATAACCTGCAAATGTGTGACCTATTTCCTCACTACAACAATGGTAAGTCAATGGCTGCTTGGAGCGGGTTGGGCATGTCCTCTGCTGGACCAAATAGAGCTGAGCTTTGGGACGCATGGTTATACAGGCTGTTTTTAATGCCTTGTTCTTTAAAGCTCTTGCTTTCATAATCAAACCCTTACTGTATGGAAGCTAAGCCACCATAAGGTTGCAAACACTACTTTGATTTCTCCCCCTGCTGTTCTTCGGTTTTTATATGCACCATAAATAAGAAAGCAGAGTAACGAGTGAGGGAAGGAGACGGAGGAAGAGAGGAAAAAGAGCAGGGAAGGAAAGAAATGGAGAAAGGGTGAGAGCTGATGGCGGGGAGGGAGGGAGAAGTCACTGTGATCATGTTCAGCTGTGTGTACTGAGGACAGATGGATCTGGGGGGTCATCGAGTTCTTGCGGCATTCAGAGCAGAGCAGAACGGGGCTGGACTGAACTGAACTGTTGATAAAAACAACCACTGGTCTAGACAACAGTGCAAAGATAAACCAGCACAACTCGCTCCAAAGGCGCACATGCAGCATGCCCTGTGCAGTACAACAAAGCAAAACAGAAAATAAAGTACACTACAGTTTGCATTATGAAACATGCTAATGAACAACATATTTTAAGCCACTTTCACACTTTATTTGATTGTTTGCTCCAAACCAGAGTTCAGTTCCAGCTGGTCTCTCTTCGCATTGTACTTTTGGGTTAGAAGAACCCAACATCAAAGCAAGTACCACCATGAGTACTAGCGGCAGCTGTTTACCATAGTAACTAGCTAATGATCTTTCAATTTTCCACCAAAACATTATACAGAACAGCACATGCGTTTAGCTCCCGTGGATGTATTACCAAAGGTCATTTATTTTAGGTGCCACAACAAAAGACGTCTTTTTTAATTCATGTATTCATTTATTTATGCTAATTATTTTTAATTGCAAACACAAAAACTTAACATTTAATGAAAAATCTAAATAAATTTGATCATTCTTTTGTATAATAATAATAATAACTAGTAGTAATAGTACTAGTAAAGAAAAAATAATATTTAATGAAAAATATAAATAAATAAACTGAACATTCTTTTATGGTGGCATCTGTCAAAATAATAATAATAATAATAATAATGAATTATTATTGCTGTTGTTAATCTTTTTTCCCTGTATAATATAAAAATATACAACAATCTGGAAATTATACAGCTATAATGCAATTGTAAAACAATGGCATATGATACAAAACATTACTGTCTGGTTTGTAGTTTTCAACACATTCTTATTGATGCTTTTAAAATAATTTAAAATAATTTTAAGTCACTTTTGCAAAAGTTTGTTAACCAGCTAGACAACATTACTTTGTTGACAATTGGCAACAATGTAGAAAACAGTTAAAGAAATTTTCACAATGTTTAAGTTTGCAAGATACAAAAAAAAAAAAAATGCACAAGAGCAGTGAACATGAAATTTTCAGAAGTAACACAATAATTGCCCAAAAAGGCAAGTGACTGTTCTGCCAAAAAAACTCTGTTCGGCCCAAACCTCTCTCACATTGACCACAGGACAGCAGCCTATGTTTATTGTTGAGCCCTGAAGCTATAGAAAATCACTTTCACACCAACCAAACGATACTGAACTCTGATGTCTAAAAAGCTTTAGCATTAAAGCACCCTTAATAGTTAGTGAAAAATGGGGCGAGGAGCAATGGAGTCTTAAAGGGTTAGTTCACCCAAAAATGAAAATTCTTCATTAATTCTGTCATGTGAACGCGCGTCCACAAGTGACGCAGTAGAGACGAAAATGTGGAATAAAGTAGTTATTTTGTTTTCTTTGCGCAAAAAAGTATTCTCGTAGTTTCGTAACTTTACAGTTGAACCACTGATGTCACACGGACTACTTTGTCGATCATCTTGGTACTTTTCTGGACCTTGAACATGGTAGTTACCTTGCTGTCTATGGGAGGGTCAGAGAGCCCTCAGATTTCATCAAAAATATCTTAAATTGTGTTCCTAAGATGAACGAAGGTCTTACGGGTTTGGAACAACATGAGGGTGAGTAATTAATGACAGAATTTTCATTTTTGGGTGAACTAACCCTTTAACAGCTCAGATCTCTAATTAAATCCAGGATGCTCCACATTGCTACAATAATGCGTTGAGAGATTGGTGAATCTATGTGTCTAGAGGGACTTTTTCCTCTTCTGTTCTGTCTCTTGCTCTGGCAGAAGTTCAAAGCCACAAACCCAACAACTGGAAAAGCATATTGTATCTGAAACCTCTCAGATACGTATACTTGAAGAAAAGAGTGTGTGACTGTCTCACCTTACACTCGCCATTAACACAAACGTCCAGAGAGTCGTCCCTGCAAGGTGTGCCGTCCACCACAGCTGGAGCGCGCTCAGTGTAGAAGTTATAGCCCTCTGCCAGGCAGTTCAGCGAGCATGACTTCACTCCACCTGCAGCCAAAACGTGCAAAACATCATACCTCAACAATCATGAGCCATTTAGTCAGAAACATGTTACATACTTAAAAAAAGAGTTGGCAGATACTCAGTAAGACATGGAGTTATATGCCATAGAAAAGACAAAGGAAGCTAGTCTAATAGTGACATATCCTCATGAGCATCACAGGACATCATAAAATCTACAAAGGCACTAAGTGTACATGTGGTATATGGGACAGAAATTTAATATGACACACATTGTAAGTAATGCTAGTTTCTTGTACAGAACTGACTCCTCATGTGTTATGCATTGTTAAATTTACAACATTACACAATGGCAAAACAAACTTGAAAACAAACTGCTGGCAAATTTGCTCTGTAGTTTAATGCATCTCCAACAATGGAGACATGTGAACGACGTATTTCATGCAGCCAAACAGAGCTTTATAACTATACTAACTCTGCGGGACGGCCGCCAGCACTCTGTAGAGTTCCATGGCTGCATGTGGTATTTTAATGAGCTTGTGAGGTTTATGTTAGTTAGTTTATTCTTCCACTGCTGTTACATCCTTGAGTAGCAGAAGAGGGGGTCCGGGGCACATTTCAGATGACTTGCTTATGGGTAAACCAGCTGAAACGCTTTCTACACACACATACACACACTTGCTTTATTCCCCTGTTTTCTCTGTAACGCCCCTACAAATTTGAGAACATGATGGAGAGAAAAACAGCCTCTCCCAGCATATTCCCTGAGAGACAAAGAAGAAATCATGCAACGTTTAGGAGAAACGTTAAACACTGTCTACATAAAACAACTTCAAATATGACACTGCATGTATTGTCTTTGATTGAAATGGTGTGGATAAATGACATTGGTCTCATATTTGTCTCCTCCAATGCTTCAAACAAGATCTCAACAACATCACACACTGTGCTCAGATTTTTCTCCTACACTAAAGACTTGGAAGCTCTCACATTTGTCTCCTCTATATTTCAGAAGTGATCTCAAGAACTTTACAAAGTGTGGACAAATGCCTCAATATGAGCTCAAACATGTCTACCATATAATATGTATTAATAATCAAATTAGTCAATTAATAATCAAGATTATGTGCCTAAGTACATAAACATTGTCTTATAAAAAGTAACATTATCCTTATTTCTGCATAATTTCTCTCTCAATATAGCATTTAACTCTGAATTTATGAATTTTCCCCCTTTATTTAGTGCCTTTCAAGTACTTCACTTGATGCACACTTTGTAAAGTTGTTGAGATCTCTTCTAAAGCTTTACAGGAGACAAATATGAGACCCCCAGATTATTTAGCTAAAGAGAAAAATCTAAGCACAGTGTGTGATGTTGTTGAGATCTCTAATCTAAACTTTCGAGGAGACAAATTTGAGAGATCCAGAGTCTCTAGCTAAGGATAAAAATCTGAGCACAGTGTTTTATGTTGTTGAGATCTCTTCTAAAGCTTTAAAGGAGACAAATGTGAGAGATCCCATGTCTGTAGCTAAAGAAAAAAATCTTAGCACAGTGTGTGATGCTGTTGAGATCTTGTTTGAAACTTTGGAGGAGACAAAT